GGGGTGAATAGCGTTTGATCGTAGAAATCGCAGGAATTAAAAATTTAAAAGAGGAGTAAAGAGAAGAATAAGAGGCACACCGAATTTTACCCTGGTTCACCACAACTTGTGGCTAATCCAGCCTCCCGAGAGACTCTCTCGAGCTACACTACTAACTCGTTAAGCTTACGGGTGCTTAACAAACCGTTACAACTTGAGAGTTCGAGTCACACGAACCTCAACAAATCCTTCAAAGAAAACAGACCTTCCTTTGAATCAACCGAGAGAGATGCTATCTCTCAACGTGTCTAAGAACACAAGTACACTCAAGAACGAGACTCTCTTATAGAGTAGATTATGAGTAAACAAAGTACGCTCAAGAACAACTCAACCTTCACACAAGTGGCTCTAGAAAGCTATGGAAAAAGATGATATTTGAATGCAATGAAAGTATGAGTATTGTGAAGTGAGTTAGTGAGAAAAGCAGACCCAAACACCCCTTTTTATAGTGCAAAATTAGGCTCCAACGGACCAATGCATTAAAGGAGTGATTAGCTTGATTTATGGGATTGAAAAGATTTGGGATCTGCAGAATATTGGCTTCCCATCGATGTTTGGAACTTACCCATCGCTAGTAAGCCAATTTTCCTTCAGTTTTGAAGTCAACGGTTACCTACCCATCGATGGGTAAATGCTTCCCATCGCTGGGTGGGAGATTGACTTTCAAATAAGGAAAGAATCAACCTTTAATGACCACCAACGGTCATGCCTTCCCATCGATGGTTAAGCCTTCCCATCGCTGGGTTCCCATCGATGGGTAAAGCTTCCCATCGCTGGGTAAGAGCATTCTGCCTTGTGGTAATGTTGCACCAAGGCTTTAACATCGATGGGTAGAACTTCCCATCGCTGTTTGGCATGGTTCTGGAAGTTGGTTTGGCTAAGGGACTGCTTACCCATCGATGGGAAGATCTTCCCATCGCTGGGTGGAATGATTCTGGAATCCCGGGATCACTTACCCATGCATGGGTAAACTCTACCATCGCTGGGTAGATGGCTAGCCCAGAACCATGGCCTAGCCGACCGGTGCAAAAACCGACCGAAAAATCCAAAGTTCTCCAAAATAAAAACTAGGTGTTTAAAACACTTATTTGATGTATTTTGTTAAGAAATCAAGTGAGACACTTTAAAAATCACGTTATTTGAGTAAAAACCACGGCTAGCCAAGTTTACGCCGTTTTGCGTGGTTTTTGTCAAACGACTAAAAGTGAGAGATGGTTTTCAAGGTGTTTTTGTTGGAGAACCGTTTAAACATGCCAAAGAGTAAAAACCAATCATAAAAAGTTGAAAACCACTTGGTTGGTTCGGAAGCCAAAAAACATAGCCGATAACCGAGAGCCGAACGCCAGTTTCTGGAACCCGAACGCCGGATGGCTTGGTTTTTGGTTTAGGCGAACACCAAGTGTTTTTAAAGACTTAAACATGTTTGAAAAGCATTTTTATGATTTAAGAAGTGCAAAAAGTGAACTTTGGAGTAAAAAGTAAACTTTTATTCATGAAAAAGGAGAAGATGCGGAATACAACGGAATGGAAATAATTAAAAAAATAATCATAGGAAGGAAGGAAAAGAAAGAAGAGTTTAGGCAGCGGCGTCCTCGTCCTCGGCGTCATCGTCTTCTTCGTCGTCCTCAACGTCCATGGGATCCCTGTCGACCGCGTCCTCAAAATCGGCCTCGTCGGGGGAGGAGGATGGTGCATAGGAGTTATCCTCCTCGTCTTCGCCTTCATAGTTTTGGCCGAGGAAGGTGCTGTCAAAGGGCGGCGGGACGTAGTTGACGCCGCGAAAGAACGCCGTCATGTCGTGGTGTTGGCGTTGCAGCGTCCAGTCCATCCGCTCGATTGACTGCCCCATGCCGTCTACTGTGAGGGTTAGCCGATTCAGAGTATCGGCTATGGATTGCAGAGAGGCCTTGGCGGGAGCGGAGGCAGGGGCAGGGGCAGGGGCACGGGCACGACTCGGTCCAGCGCCGGTTTCGTCACCGGACTTCTTCCGGAAGGTGCTGTCTTGGATGATCCAAATCTTTGTCATCTTCGTATCCGGGCCGGCGATGGAGATGTCGGCGGAGATGATGAGGTCCATGACGAGGAAGGCGTATGGCAAGCTCCGCTCAGTAGCGATGGAGGCGCAATCCGCCATGTGGATCATCACGAATTTCGCCCAGTTGATGGAGGCGCCGTGGATGATTGCATGAATCGCCTTCAAGTCTTCGTTGAAGAGCGAGGTATGGCTGCTGTCCCGGGGGCGGAGAATCCGGGTGATGATGTAGAGGAGGAGGCGCTTGTCCGGTGGGGCCGAGTGAATCGTCGGTGCGCCGCTGTGGCGGATCAAGCGGGTGATCCCAAGCTCACGAATGACGACCGCCTCGTTGTTGAGGATCCAATCGTCGCCACCATAGGTTGCGATGTCGTCACCGCGGATGGGCAGCCCTGCGACCCGAGCGAAGGTGGGCAAATCAATCTCTATGTCGTAGAGATTGATGCTGCTGCGAATGGTGTCCCCGTCACGGCGGAGATTGGAATAGAAAGCCCGGACAAAGGCGGGATTGAAGCTCGAGCGGCTCTTGGAGACGAATGGCCACAAACCCGACGCTTGGAGTTGGTTGTCGAGGTCGTGGTACCCTTTGTCTTGGGGAAACAACTCGGGGAGCACGCGAGGTGGAGATATCGGGCGCTTGGCAAAGTGAGTGAGGAAGCGTGTGAGTTCTTCCTCCGACCCGAACTCAAGAAATGATCCATCCAGGTAGGGGAACGGTTGAGGCGTAGAGGTCAAGGGTTCGACGGTGCTTTTCTTCTTGGAAGCCTTAGACTTTGATCTTCCTCCGGCCATGATTGAGACGTTTTTGAAGAGGGATTGAAGAAATATTGAGATTAGGATCAAGGAATGAAATTATGATGTTAATGGTGTATTAGAATGAGCAAATGTGAGGGATATATATAGGGAAAGGGAGATTAGGCCGTTTGGATTCAAAAATATAGCTGTTGGGCAATTAATGTGGTGCCCAACGGCTCTGAATTTTTGAAACGCAGGTGCCTTCCCAGCGATGGTAGGATTTACCCATCGATGGGAAGGTCGCCTCTGGAAAGCAAGGAAGGACCCAAGGCTGCCTTCCCAGCGATGTTTGCATGTTCCCATCGATGGGAAGGTGGCTTCTGGAAAAGAGAACATGGCCTTACCCAGCGATGGGAGGAACTTCCCATCGATGGGTTTGGAGGTTCTGAGACAAAAAACAGGAGCTCACCCAGCGATGGGATAAACTACCCATCGATGGGTAAAGACGTTCTGGAAATCCGTTAAGTATTTTTAAAAAATTAGAGTCAATTACCCATCGATGGGAAGAAGACCCCATCGATGGGAAGAGGGGATCTGGAAAAAGAGAAACTTCCCTCCCAGCGATGGTATGGCCTACCCATCGCTGGTTCCCCCTGAGTTCCAGAGTTTTTCACTTCGAACCGTCCCTGCAAAAAAGAGTTAGAAAACTCTCCGACGCTCAAGTTAGTAAACGTTCTATTAACAATAAAAGAATGATAAAATGCACAAATTAGATCATCGTAGAGTCAAGGATTCCGAGTTCACTACGAATGCGGAAGAACGACTCTTTCTCTAAAGGTTTTGTGAAAATGTCGGCCAATTGGTTGTGTGTTTCAACAAACTCAATTTCGACATCACCTTTGAGAACATGATCTCTAATGAAATGGTGCCTAATGTCAATGTGTTTCGTCCTTGAATGAAGAACGGGGTTCTTCGTCAAGCTAATGGCGCTAGTATTGTCACAACGAAGAGGAACGTGACTGATACTAAGGCCATAGTCCACGAGTTGTTGCTTCATCCAAAGGGTTTGAGCACAACAACTACCGGCGGCAACGTATTCCGCTTCGGTTGTGGATAACGCAACACTGACTTGTTTCTTGCTAAACCATGAAACTAAAGCACTTCCAAGTAAGTGGCAAGTCCCGCTTGTACTTTTGCGGTCCAATTTGCAACCGGCAAAGTCCGAGTCGGAGTAGCCAACGAGAAGACACGAAGAGCCTTTTGGATACCACAGTCCAACGTTGACCGTGCCGACAAGGTATTTCATGATCCGTTT